GCGATCAACGATGCGAACGCGCGCGCCGGCGCATTCCACCAACCAGCTCTCATCATTTTCCTTTGGCTGACGTGCATTTGCATGGGGGGTGGCGGAATGCCAAAGCCGTCGCACCCATGTGCATGTTTCTCGGAGGCGCAGTGTCGTGCAGGCGTCTGTGCGCATCAAGCGCGTCATCATTTTTTCTTTGATGATTTTCCATGTGCCGGGGGCGGCTCGTGCGCGTGTGATAACGCGCGTGGCTGCGTGGGCCCCGTCTTGGCCCCAGTGCGCGGGCGCGTCTTTATCTTGGGGGCGCAGGGCCTGCGTTGATGCAGCTGCGCTTTGGAAACCCGCATGCCTTATCAAAGAAAGGGTGCGCAAATTTGGGCCCCTCAGCGGCAGCGGGCCCAGTGTGGTCGCCCAGCAGCCATTCGAGGCGCTCCGAAAGTGCTGCGCCATGTGCGAGGCGACCTCCGCCAAGATGAACAGCGCGGCCCATATTCCAATGGCGCGGTCAGCATAGAGCAAACAAGAATCCGGAACGCATCCCGAGCAGCAGTGGCCTCTCGAAAATTGTCGCCGGCGCAATGCGTGAGCGAGTCAATTCGAAAACGTCGAAATAATGCCCCACATTGTTCAGCTTTGCGTTTCAGGTCGTGTTCCGGGCGCGTGGGGAAACCCGTATTTTTCAACGTGGTGGCGGCCCATGGCAGAGAACAGCGCGCGCTTTATGCCGTGGTGGAGCGCGCGACCCATCGAGTGCAACTCCATTCTGGCGCTGGCGCCCCGAAGCGATGAACGACGGGCGCTGGCCACCCATGTTCTAGAAATCCGTTGCGAACGCGATCGCGGCATCTAGGTCGCCCAATCCGCTCGGAAATCCCTCGTTGAGGTCTGGCAGCGCGCAGCGAAATTCCGCGCTGGATCCGCGCTGCCCGCGCGAGGCCTGCCGGTCCTGGATGCGCGTCGGGTTCGCGCGGCCACCTGAGGCAAGGCCTCGCGCAGCTCGGATGGTCAATATTGATGGGCACAAATATTCCAAAAGTGTTCTGCGCATCCAGCGCGTGTTCAAGAAAGACTGGCAGACCGAATTTCGAGAGCGGTCGTCTCCGACTCCCCGGGCTGCCGCTCCCAGATGGCGAACGATAGCCTTCTGTGCCATGGCCCCCAGGGGCGGGTCCGCATGCGTGGTCCTGCTGTGGCCCCCGCGCGCGTTTTGTCAGCGATTCGTGTTTTGCTGCTGGGATTTCTACGCGGACATCGCCAGCAATGCATTTCTGGTGTACCCGGGTGGTGATGCGCCGCCCTGAAATGTTCCCGCTTCATTTCAATATTGGTGGCGTTTGCCTCGGGGCGACCAAAGCGATTGCAATCGGACTCGAATGGATCAACGAGCTCTGTCGAACAACTGGCAAACACTACGAAGGGTAAAATCTTGCCCCCTGACTAAGGGCAAAATCCAATCCCCTGATTTCGCTAGCAAGCCGTGACGTGGATCTGCTATGCCTGATTGGGGTGGTCCAAGATTATGTTGGGAATGTGCCTTCCAATGCCCCAGCCAGCGCGCGGCAGGACCATCCAACGTGCTGGCGCCCTTGCCTCTGGAGCCCGAATTCCAGCCTAATTATGTGGCAAATATTTGACCCCATGAATTGGTATATGAACGTGTTTTGTGAAGGTTGGCCCAACGCATGGGGCTGCATTTGGAGAAAGCCATACGTGGCTTCGGTGTGCACTTGCTCCACCGGCCGCCCCTGCGCGCGCAAAGTCCATCCCGCACGTAGCGGCAAGCATGCCGTGGGGGCGCGAGCTCGTCGTGCACGCCGTCGTCCAGAGAGCCCTTCGGAACGTATCTCCATGAGAGCCACGATGTAGTTCAGAATCAAAGGCAGCAGCGTGGAATGGGAACGCCTGGAGGCCGCGAGCCGGACATCCATCTCTACGCCCAAATCCTCCTACACGTTTTCCTTCTCTTCCTCCAAATCCTCCCCATCCTTCCCGTTCTCATTCTTCCCATTTTGTTGATGGTGTGCTGCCACCGCCTCCTGCGCTCCCCGCCTCCATTGTGTTTTCCTCCTCGTCGGCCTCTTCTTCCTCTTCCTCATGGGTCCTGGCCCTTCATCGCCCCATCCCGCCATAGGTCGTCTTCCACCGTTGGCACTTGCTCCTGCACCTCCTCAAGCACCCGCACCCGTGCATCCCCCTATATACCCATCGTCCTCCTCCTCGTCCTGGCCAGCCTGCCCGCCCTCTTCCTCCTCCTCCTTGTCCTCCTCCTCGTCCTCGTCTTCCTCCCCTCCTCCTCTTCCTCCTCCTCCTCCTCCTTCTCCAAGTCCCTGTGCTCCTGCACCACATCATCGTTCTCCTTTGCCTGCTCCTCCTCCTCCCCCTGCTCCTCTTTTTCGTTTTCATGGCCCCCGTCCTCCCCCCCATGGTTCTCTTTTTCCTCCTCCTCCGCCTCCTCCTTTTCCTCCTCGTCCTCCTCCGCCTCCTCCTAATCCTCCTTTTCGTCCTCGTCCTCCTCGACCTCCTCCTCCCCCTCCTCTCCTCCTCCTCCTGCTCCTCCTCCCCCTCCTACTGCTCAGCGTCCTCTTCGTCCTCTCCGTCCCTCTCGCGCAGCCCCAGGACGCCGCAGGGCGGGCGCTTCGGTCGCGCGGTGGGGGCGCCGAGCACGCGCTGGCGACGGGCGGTTTTAGTTTCGCGCGCTGGCGGCTGGGCTGAGACGTGTCGCCTGGTTTCGGTTGCGTCTGCGCGGCCCGTATGGAATGTGTCGCCCGGTTGCGGGCGGTTACGCGGGCGGGTTGAAATGTGTCGCCTGGTTGCGGTTGCGATTGCGCGTGCGGGTGGGTTGGAATGTGTCGCCTGATAGGGTCGCAGTTGCAGCTTCGCGGGCGGGTTGAATTATGTCATTTGGTTGCGGTTGCAACTGCGCCCGCGGGCGGGTTGCAATGTGTCGCCAGGTTGCGGTTGGTGTTGCGGCTTCGCGGGCGGGTTGCAATTGCGCGGCTGGGTTGTAATGTGTCGCTTGGTTGCGGTTGCGGTTGCGCGCGCAGGTGGGTTGACCTGTGTGGCCTGGTTGCGGTTGCGGTTGCGCGCTCGGGCGGGTTGAAATGCGTCGCCTGGTTGTTGTTGCGGTTGCGGTTGCGCGGGCGGGTTGAAATTTGTCGCCTGGTTGCGGTTACGGTTGCGCGCGCGGGCGGATTGGTGTCGCCTGGTTGCGCTTGCGGTTGCGGCTTCGCGGGCGTGGTTGAAGAGTGTGGAATGTGTGCCGCCTAGTTGCGGTTTTGGTTGCGGTAGCGCGCGCGGGTTAAAACGTGTCGCTTGGTTGCGGTTGCGGTTGCGATTGCGCGGCCTGGTTGGAATGAGTTTTTTGGTTGCGGTTGCGGTTGCAGTTGCGCGGGCGGGTTGAAATTGCGCGGTTGGGTTGAAATGCGTCGCTTGGTTGCGGTTGCAGTCGCGCGCGGGCGGGTTTAAATGTGTCGCCTTGTTGCGGTTGCGGTTGCGGTTGCGGTGGCGCGGCCTGGTTGAATTGTGTGGCCAGGTTGCGGTTGCGGTTGCGCGCGCGGGCGGGTTGCAATTGCGCGGCTGGGTTGTAATGTGTCGTCTGGTTGCGGTTGCGGTTGCGCGCGCGGGCGGGTTGAACTGTGTGGCTTGGTTGCGGTTGCGGTTGCGCGCGCGGGCGGGTTGAAATGCGTCGCCTGGTTGTTGTTGCGGTTGCGGTTGCGCGGGCTGGTTGTAATGTGTCGCTTGGTTGCGATTGCGGTTGCGGTTGCGCGCGCGGGCGGGTTGGAATATGTCGCCTGGTTACGGTTGCGGTTGCGGCTTCGCGGGCGGGTTGAAGTGTGTGGAGTGTGTCGCTCGGTTGCGGTTGCGGTTTCGGTTGCGCGGCCTGGTTGAATTGAGTCGCCCTGTTGCGGTTGCGGTTGCAATTGCGTGGCTGGGTTGTAATGTGTCGCTTGGTTGCGGTTGCGATTACGCGCGCGGGCGGGTTGAAACGTGTCGCTTGGTTGCGGTTGTGCGGTCCCGCGGGCGGTTTGAAATGCGTTGTCAGAATTGTTCTCCTGACGTTCAGTCAGTCAGTCAGTCAGTCAGTCAGTGAGTCAGTCACCGGCGGGCACGGAGTTTCATCCGGATCCGCTGGGAATCAGGATGCGCCTGAAAATCAGCTGCTTGAGCAAACCCGGTCGTAATGTCCAGGTTTCCGCAGGCCTCCAAAAGACATTGCAATATTTGCACCAGTTTGCAAGTCCGTCGCCCCGATACCAAGAATAACAAACATATGCTGTAGATCCGAAACCACGTTTTCGTTGAGTTGCCCGCCGCGTTGCACCATGCAGCAACATCCAATACACGGGGCCCATGAAGACCATCCAAAACTGCAGACATCTGGTGTTTCAACTCCATGGACAAATCTTTGCCTGTGCAAGGTCGTTCGTCCAGAACTGCTGATCGCCGAGATCGTAAGATACTCACTGCTTGATCGTCCCAATGTACCCATGATTGGTTTAGGTGGCATCGGTACACCTCCAGAAGATCCTCAGGAAAGCTCCGTCACACCACCAACCCACTATGAAGCGTATGATGTATAGCAATGAATTGGTATGATAACAACGCACTGCAATGGAAGCCTGACTGCTTGACAAATTCCTTCCGTACAGCTCACAAGTTGCAGTGGCAATGAAATGCCAAGTTATGAATACGCGGAAGACCTATGAGATGGAGTGAAATGTAGATGGCTTATTGCGTCACTCTCTGATGTTGTAGTCTTGGCAGCAACTGGAGTACAGCTGTTTTGAACGTTGCCTGCTGCGACCGCGACTCCGCGCTCTGGTGCCAAGAGGGGCCTTCCTCTAGCTGCAAACGGCCTGAGTCAAGATGCTAACTGAGACAGTGGTGCTCCCCGCACTCCCGTCCGCCTTCCCTCCCCTCCACTCCCATCCGCCCTGCCCCCCTCCTCCCTTCCCCCTCCGCCCTCCCTCCCCTCCCCTCCGCCCCTCCCTCCCCTCCCCCCCCTCGAGGGCCGGAGCGGAGGGTGGAGCGGGTGTGCCCCCGTTCGCTCCCCGGGCGTCCTGTCCGGGCACGTCTCCAGCGCGGTCCCGCTCACCCCCAAACGGGGGGTCCTGGGGCTTGCGTGGCCAAGGAGGATCCGCCCCGCGCCGCAGGTGCGTCGGCGACTCGGCGACCCGGCGCGATCCCGGAGTCCGATGTTCTCCGTCTGGGCGTCGCTCGGGCGGGGCCAGGGCCAGGATACAATCAGACCAGGGTATATCGGGAGCGGCCAAGAGGGGGTGATGACTACTAGGGGGGGGGGTGATTGATATCGTGCTGGGTCCACGAGATCTCCCCAGATTTCATGGCGCCTTCTTATTTCAATATATTCCTACCCGCCCCCCTGGGCCACGCATATGCCGCCGGCCATTGTTTGCGAACCCCCTCTTGGACGCCAGCCTCTTTGACGCCCCCGAGTGCAAGATCGAGGACGGTTCGGGGAGGGTTCTTCATGCTTGCTGGATGCTCTTGTGCATCCTGGATGAGGGTATTTTCGAAGGTGTTTCGGTTTGGCCGGCGAAGGGTCTCACGTTCTCGAAAGATGTGTTTCTGTCCTAGGTTCGGCCAGATCTCGTTCCAGAGCGTACCGAAACGCCGTCTAGCGTTTCAGAGCGCTCCGGAACGGCTCTGGCGCCCGATACATCCTTCAGAGCCGCCAGATTTCAGAGATCCTGGCGACCGATCCCAGTCAGATCTTGTCCTGGTCCTGGCTTCGTCCTACGTCGCCGATGCATCGGCGAGGCGGCGCGGTCCTCCGACCCCACCCGCTCGGGCCCCACTTGGGGGATGCCTCCAGGTCCTGTTCCTCGCGAGCCTGCTCCTGTTCCTGCTCCAGCACGGGGGCTTCCAGAGGGGGTCGGCGGATGTGCCCCCGCGGTCGCAGGAGCAGGTCGGTGCCCTGGAGCCCCGAGCCCTGCGCGCGACCTCCCACCTGCTCGTCCTCCGAAGAGGGGGAGGAGGAGGAAGAGGAGGAACGAGGAGGAGGATGAGAGATAGGAAGGAGGACTATGAAGAGGAGGAGGAGGAAGAGGAGGAGGAGGAGGAGGAGGAGGAGGAGGAGGAGGAGGAGGAGGAGGAGGAGGAGGAGCAGGAGCAGGATCAGGAGGAGGAGGAGGAGATGTACATGTGTTCGCTCGCACTGGAAGGTGAGGGGGCTTTTTGTGCGGTCGATGTTTCCCGTTGCCATAAGGTACGCTCAAGCTCTGTTTCTCTCTTGGTTGGCCCCTTCTGGCGTTGGTGATCTCGTGCTTGCCGTCATGGCGCGCGGGCCCCGAAGCGGCGGGGCGAGGGGCGAAACGGCAGGGCAGCGGGCGGGCCCATTCGGATTCCCGTGGCTCACCGAGCGCGCTTGACTACTCGCAAAGTGTCGATTCGCAAACGTCTGACACAATAACATCTAGCAACAAACAAACAAACAAAAAACATGTTCGCCTCGATGTAGTGGGTCGATACAAGGAGAAGCCTCGGGGTACTTCCTTCAAGACACTCGGTTCCATAATAAATGCAGCAGGCACCTGACATCACCGTCAAGAGGCACGGCTGTAGTTCGGCCATCGAGAAGCAGCGCTCGCCGATTGACCGAGAATATCGCGGCAGAAGAAATTGAACCTCATGTTCAAAGTAGCAGTATCAATTTATTATTTGTGCATGGGCGCACGGATTGCCTACGTGCGTGAGTTGTCCTCCCTGACAGCACCTTTTACGACGGCGGCGAAACCTGCCTTGCGGGCTTCTCGGCACCGGGATGACACCGGGGAGGCGCACCACCGGACCTGCAACAGCCTTCTCCGGGAAACGATTGCCAAAGCTGGGTTGGCCGACGTCGACGTCTTAGTTGTTGAGCAGGATTTACGACTACACGGGCCACCTTGTCCAGGCCATTCGCCGGGACCCAAAGCATTTGGTTGGCGCAATTATCCGGCACAGGGACTCCGAGTGGAAACGCAACGTTACGGATACCATCGGTCACCAGGGCCACCAAGGTCGGTTTGCCCCATGGTGTTGGGAAACGCAATGCGATTCTTTGCCGCGCAAAATTTGTCTTTGATATACCGCGTTGGACCGAGAAACTCGCGGAGCCCAACGGTTCTTTTGGGTTGCGCGCACGACGGGGCGCAGCCTGCTGCGCGCCATTGTTTGAAATGTTTGAAATGCACATAACTTACGATTTTTAAAATTATCACTGTGGTCGAAAAGTGAACATTTGTTCTCCAGAGCTGAGCCGTTAGTGAAGCAGCGGTAGGGGCTTGTGCTCACACAGGCTGCCGTAGTAGTAGTAGTAGTAGAAGTAGTGGTAGTGGTAGTGATAGTAGTAGTGGTAGTAATAGCAGTAGTTCTATTATTATTATTATTATTAGTAGTAGTAGTAGTGGTGGTAGTAGTAGTAGTAGTAGTAGTAGTAGTAATCGTAGTAGTAGTCGTCGTAGTAGCAGTAGCAGTAGTAGTAGTAGTAGTAGTAGTAGTAGTAGCAGCAGTAGTTGTGGTAGTAGTGGTAAGAGGGGTAATCGCAGTAGTAGCGATAGTGATAGTAGTAGCAGTAGTTGTAGTAAACAGTAGTAGTAGATCGTAGTAGTCGTATTTGTAGTCGTAGTTGTAGTTGTAGTTGGAGTAGTAGTCGCAGTCGTAGTTGTAGTACTAGTATTAGTACGTAGTAGGTCGTAGTAGTAGCGGGGCGCAGCTCGCCGCGGCGGCGCGTCCGAGCGGGGGGCCGCGGAGCCCGCGGGGCGTTGCCATTGGAAGGACTTCTGAAGGAGATGCGGCGAGTGTCTCGCCAGCAGAAGAAGTGCTCGAAATGGGCGAGTCCTGGGGCCTTCGGACGGTTGGGAGTGAAATTGCCGCGGCGAGTCAGAGGCAGGGTCGCGTTCATAACGCCACAGTGAAGTTGACATTCCGTTTATTGAAAAAAGAATCGGCCGCTGCGACTGGGAACGCGGTGGATTTAGAAATTGTCGCTTGTGGGTGGGGGGGGGAAATGGCGCGCCCCCTACGGCCAGGCGTCGGTCGAGCGATCTCTTGCGCGGTTCGCATCCGCGTCGCAGTTCGGACGAGCGGGTTGCTTTCTGATTCGGTGGGGGATGTTCTATGCTTGTATTCGGCGGGAATCGCGCGCGCCCTTTCTTTGTTTGGGAATGTGCCGGCTTGGCCGAGCGGCGAGAGCATGCAATGCAGTGCTTGGCCATCTCGCAGAAGTTGCCTTCGTCCCCATCCTTGTCCTCATCCCCGTCGCCGTCGTCGTCGTTCTCTTTTTTCGCCGTCGTCGTCATCCCCGTTGTCGTCGACGTCGCCGTCGTCGTCGCCATCGTCGTTGTCGACGTCGCCGTCGCCGTCGTCGCCGCGTCCTGGTTTGTCTACCCCACCAAGAAATGTTCTAAGAGCTTGTTGTGATCTGCACGAAATGTTATCATATCAGAACATGTCTGGATGAGACCTTCCGGTTGTATTCAGCGGCGTTATGTTTTACTGTTGTTTGAGAAGTCTTTGTTCTTAGAACAGGTCGTGGTGATTCTATAAGACTGCCTGGCCGGTCGGTCCCTGCTCAATTGACCCCCCTGCCCCTGCCCCCCCTTTTCTTTTTCCACATATGCCTGTGCCCCTTCCCCTGCCGCGTTCCCCTGCCCCTGCTTCCCCTCGCCCCTGCCCCTGCCCCTGCGCATCCCCTCCCCCGCCCCGCTGCCCCCCCCCTCAATTTCCCAAACGTGCTTCATGTGGATGCGATTCTCCTCCATCCCCTGACTATGTAGTGGACGTATCCCGTCCTCTCCATGTATTTGGTGCCTCGCAGTATTTCAAGAGAGCTTTTTCTATGGGAGCGTTTGCCAATGCTTCAGAATGGTGCTGCCGCTGCAGCGGTGACCTCATCTTAGGATCGGCGCTTTGCCCGCCCCAGCGCGTGCCACATATCTAAGTCCGAGTCCTTCCTCGTCCTTGTCTCCCTCGTACTTTCCCCTTCTTCGCCTGCCCCTGGTCCCCCTGCTCCCCCGCGGTCCTCCTGCTCCTGCTCTCTGCTCTTGCTGCTGCTTTTCCTCCTTGTCCTCCTCCTGTTCCTCCTGGCCATCCTCCTGCTCATCTGCCACCGCATCCTCCTCCTGTCCCTCCTCCTCCCCATCCTCAGGTGTGCACAGCTCCTTTTTTCTCTGACTGCGCATAACGCGATTGGGTTATGTTTGGCGGTTCCAGGTCCACTGTGACACCCGCCGATGGATACATGCATACATGTACGTACATGCGTACTTACGCAACATGTTTGTGTATACATATATGTCTGTATACATACGTATGTGTGTGTATATACGCACACGTCGACAAACCAGCGCCGTGGCAAGATGTGGGTGGGAGGGGCAGGATGTTAGATGTGGCGCGAGCGCACCTAGCTTTTCCTTCCCCCCTTCTTCGTCCCCCCCTCCGATGGCCCGCCTCCGCGCTCGCCTGCCGCGCCTCGCTTTCCGCCTGGAGGTCCTGTTCGACTTCTCCAAGGTCGCGCTCGGGGCGGTGTGGGCCGGCGTTATGACGTCTGCATGCTGCGCCTCCATGCTGGGCTCCATAGAGCCAGAGGGGAACGAGTGCGGGTGGCCTGGGCCCTCTTCTCGGCGGCGAGTGAGGGGGGGAACTTGAAAACGAGAAGGCATTCTCAGAAGGTGGCGGGGCCTCTCAGAAGGCCTCGGGCCTTCTGAGAGGTTTTCTGTGTCTTCGGGGAGGGCTTGGAAACCTTCTCAGAAGGCCGGGGGACTCTCGAGCCTTCTGAGAAGGCCCGCCCCTTCTCACTCCCCCCCCCCCGGCTCGCCGCCGATCTTCGTCCTCCTCGTCGCCCCCCTCGTGCTCCTCCTCCTCCTCCTCCTCCTCGTCCTCCTCGTGTTTTTTTCCGTCGCTTTTGTCCTCGTCACTCGTCTTCCTCGATCTCGTGCTCCTCGTCGTCCTTCTCGTGCTCGTCGTGTTCGTCTCTCGTCTTCTTACTTGTCTTCATCATCCTCGTCGTCGCCGTTTTCCTTTTCCTCGTCCTGCTTGACTCCGTGCTCTTCGTCGATTTTTTTTCATTTGCCTGCCCAATTTGTCCGAGACAGGAGCTGTTGCGAACCTTTTGAACGCTTTCCCCCAGCATCTGTGTGAGGGCCATCTCCTGCCTCCTGGCCTTCCCCCTGCTCCTCGCTTATCCTCCCGCCCCCCCCTGGGGAGGTGCCGAGAAGAAGACCGCAGGGCAATGGGCTCCTCCTCACCTTCCTGTCGTTTGTCGCCCTTCTCCCCGTCCTTCTTCTCTTCCCACCTCGGCGCGCGCTGGTTAGCCCCCCCCGTTAGGCCCACCCGAAATTGCCGTCGATTCCCACTGTTCGCCTTCCTCGTTCCTCTCCAGGTCCCGCTCATGGCCCAAACGTGGATCGATTAGACGCATGGGCAGGCACCATAATCTGGAGGCGCTGGCTCACCCCCTGAGAACTTCATGCCTTGGGGTGCTCGGGACCGCCCCCTCTTTGTCCCTCTTTCTCACTCTCTCTCTCTCTGTCCCTCTTTTTCCCAAGCCTCCTTGGTTGGGTAGTCGTTTTGAATAGAGCACTGCGGTCTCCAGTCCTTCTCCTCTTCCTCCTCCTCCTCCCGCCTCCCGTCTCCCGCTCCCCTCTTGTCTCCTCTTGCTTTGTGCGAAACTGGCCATCCCTGGGGGCTGCGATCTGCGACATCGTCGCCACTTTCGAGGGCTGCTGGTGGGTCCTGCGGAGTGAGGCACCGCGGGGATCTGAGCGAGACCTCGCCGTCCCTGGGGGGCTGCGATCTGCGACATTGTCGCCACTTTCGAGGGCTGCTGGTGGTTCCTGCGGAGTGAGGCACCTCGGGGATCTGAGCGGGACCTCGCCGTCCCTGGGGGGCTGTGATCTGCGACACTGTCGCCACTTTCGAGGGCTGCTGGTGGGTCCTGCGGAGTGAGGCACCGCGGGGATCTGAGCGGGACCTTGCCGTCCCTGGGGGGCTGCGATCTGCGACATTGTCGCCACTTTCGAGGACTGCTGGTGGGTCCTGCGGAGTGCGGCACCGTGGGGATCTGAGCGGGACCTCGCCGTCCCTGGGGGGCTACGATCTGCGACACCGTCGCCACTTTCGAGGGCTGCTACCGCGGGGATCTGAGCCGGACCTCGCCGTCCCTGGGGGGTTGCGATCTGCGACATTGTCGCCATTTTCGAGGGCTGCTGGTGGGTCCTGCGGAGTGCGGCACCGCGGGGATCTGAGCGGGACCTCGCCGTCGCTAGGGGGGCTGCGATCTGCGACACTGTCGCCACTTTCGAGGGCTGCTGGTGGGTCCTGCGGAGTGCGGCACCGCGGGGATCTGAGCGGGACCTCTCCGTCCCTATGGGGGCTCTGGAGAGCTGCTGTGGGATACGTTAGGCGCAACGGGCGCATGGCACAGCCAACGGGGGTGATTTGTGAAACAGACCGTCTGCCAGGCGATGGCCATAACGTTGCGCCTTCGCGTATCCCGCGGGGGCTCTCAAGAGCTGCTGTGGGATTCGTTGTGTGCAACGGGCGCATGGCACAGCCAACGGGGGTGACTTGTTATTACGTAGCCCTTAGATCTTGATCGGGGGCCTGCGAGCCTTCCGATTGCTGCTCGGAAATCACATGCGTCCATGTTTCGTCATCGCCCCCGTTGTAGCAATCCTGATGTACTTATGCCCCGCATTGCGCAAGGGTTGGGTACGTCGCCAGGGTATTTGTCCTTTCTCTTTATCTATCTATATATGCATACACGTAAGTATATACACACATTCTATGAATAATTAGCTCCCCCCCCGGCCTGACCAATTCCAGCCGCGGATGCTGACCAATTCCAGGAAGAAGATACCCTTGAGCCTTGGCCGGATTGGATCCGTCGTGCAACGCAACACGCCGAACATAGTATTTCAAATTTGGGGGTCGCATATTGGATTACCACAATCAAAAAGCGTAAATGGAAATGGTTGCAAGAAATGTGTACTAACAGTACGAAAGAATGGGCACAGCGAGTGTTACAATGGGAGCCACAAAATGATGCACACATACATACACAACGCCGTGTTGGACGGCAAAAGACCAGGTGGTGGGACGACATACTATCCTGCATAAACGGTGTGTCGAAGACGCGCCACCACATGTTGCAGGGTTACTACGACTAGCGGGGACGGACACATGGGACAATTTGGAGTCTGGGTACACACAACAGTGAGTGTCCATGGTTACGCGGCTAATATTCTAGTGCCGTCATCGCCGTCTACCTCCTCCTCCCCCTCTTTGTCCTCCTTCCAGACAATGTGATGTATCGAATCTTGTTGTTGTCGCATTGTTTCACCAATAGCGGCGCCCCGGCGCCACCCTGCAGTGTCCCCGCGGCACCTTGACTGCAGGCCGCTTGTCCGCTTGTCCGCTTGTCCGGCCTGGGCCGGCCGACCCCGCAACCATCGGCGGAAGCCCGCTGATACCCCCTCTTCAGAGGCGGCCAGGAGAGGCCAAGAGGGTACCAAGACGAGCCAAGAGGGTTCCAAGAGGCCCCCAAGACGGCGCAAGAAGGTCCCGAGCTGCCCAATACGGCCCAGGACGACTTCCAGAGCACTCCCAAGAGGGACCCAAGACGCCCAAATCATGAACTTTCGATGGGGAAAAACGTATACTTCTAGCATGTACGACTTTTCAGCTTTCGCGGCTTTCAAGACGGTTCAAGACGCTCCCAACACTTCCCCAAGACAGCCCAAGACGTTCCCAAGAGGTCCCCGAACCAGCCCAAGAGTGCGCCAAGACGGCCCAATGGCCGCCAAAGACGGCCAAGCTGGCCTCAAGACGGCGCCCAAGACGGTCTAAGAAGGCCCCGAGTCTCCCAAGACGGCCCAAGACGGCCCAAGATGGCCACAAGACGGTTCAAGAAGGCTCCGGGGCGTCCCAAGAGGCCTCCAAGAGTATTCCCAGGAGGGCCCCAAGAAGCCACAATCGTTGAATTCCTACGGGAAAACGTGCATTTTTATCATGTGCGACTTTTCGGCCTTCACGGCTTTGAAGACGGCCCAAGAGGCTCCCAAGACTTGCCCAAGAGAGTCTAAGACACTCCCAAGAGGCCCTCAAGACAGCCCAAGAGGGGGCCACGACGGCCCAAAGGCTGTCCAAGGCGGCCCAAGTTCGTCCCAAAACGGGCCCCAAGAAGATCCAAGAAGGCCCCGAGTCGCCCAAGGCTGCCCAAGATGGCCACAATCATGTCCAAGAAGGCCCCGAGACTTTCCAAGAGGCCTCCAAGAGCACTCCCAAGAGGATCCCAAGTGACCGAAATCGTTACATTCCTGTAGGCGAAACGAACATTTGAAGCATCTCCGATTTGGGGGCCTTCACGACTTTGAAGACTGTCCAAGAGGCCCCCAAGCCTTCCCCAAGCGAACCGAAGACGCTCCCAAGAGACCCTCAAGATAGCCCAAGAGGGCGCCAAGACGGCCCAAGGGTCGACTAGGACGGCTCCAGGAGGGGTCCAAGAGGGGAACTCCGACTCGAAAGTTGCAGCCTTCCGCCCAAAGAACCTCCCAGGAGGCCCCCAAAGTCCCCAAGAGGCCCCAAGAGGTCCCCAAGAGACCGCCAAGAGGCCCAAAAGAGGCCCCAAGATGGCTCAAAACGAATAGGACGGCCTCCAAGAGGTCTCCCAAAGGGGTCCGAAAGGTCTTCCTGCGGATCGAGGCCCGAGCGAGACCAGGACTGCACCGTGGCTCATCTGCGACTAGAACCTAAGCGCGCGCGTAGTTCGCGTGTTTCTAGTGTGTATGTGTATATATATACATATATATATATATATATATATGTGTGTGTGTATGCGTGTATATATAGATATATACATATATATATATATGTTTGTGTGTGTGTGTTTGTATCCCGGGGGGTCGGGCCCAGGGCCCGAAAATAGCTACCCGGGCCGACCCTCGATGGGAGGACCGGAGCTCCGGACAGCTTCCAAGACCCCGTTTGACGGTCCTGGCCGAACGGGCGGAATGGGCCCCAAGAGGGCGCAAGGAGGCCCAAGAGGGCACCAGAGCCGTCGAACGACGCATTCCAAACGCCCGTAATGGCCTCCAGACAGCCCAAGAAGCTTTGGATACCCTCCCAGAGAGCCCAAGACCGTTCCCCAAAGGGCTCCAACAGGCAACGAACATGTATTTTCCATAGGTTTCCAATGTTTTTGTTTTTGTTTCGCTTGTTCGAGTGTCCGACGCTCCAAGACGGTCCGAGAGGCCCCCAAGACCGCCCCAAGACGGCCCAAGAGGCCCCCAAGACCGCCCCGCGCCGGCTCAAGATGGCCCCAAGACGGCCGAAGAGGCGTCCAAAATCAAGGTAGCGCAAGGCAGGGACGTTCAACACGAAACGGTGCCGACAGGACCAGCGCAGAAACGCAACGAGGCAGCATGCTCTCAAGACTCATAAAGGTCAAAATCGAGCGAACGGTGCAGCAACGTAGCGCAATGCAGTGGGATGCAATTCGGAGTGGGAGAGCGTGGCGGGGGGCAGCTCCCCGAGGACGGGGGGGCAGCCCCCCAGATGTGATCAACCGGCATTTGGCAGCCTGGGCGCAGCCCAGGGAGGGAGAAATCCTTCTCCTCCTCCTCCGCCTCATCCTCCTCGTCAATTCCCCAGTGGGGTTTGACGGTTCTTTTCAGGCACATCTGCAGAAACCGATGCACACTCAGAACTACCAGGGCAAGCCAAGAGATGATCAGACGAGTACGGAGAAATCGTGGAAGCTCCTGCGCGAATCGAGTCACAACAGAAGTCGTCAAACCCCAGCCTTTTGCAGTAGGACATGCCAAGCTTGGGGAACCCGACACGTCGGGCATTGTGATCTCTTTTGGGAGTGGGGCATCCATCCCTCGTTACACCCTCCGTCATTTCTCCCTGCTTTTTCTGTCTACCTCTTTCCCCTTCTCTCTTCCTCGGGATCGTCCTGGTTATTATGTTAGCATGCTCCTCTTTCGCTCAGGTGGTATGCCGTGGAGATCATGCTGGACACGTCCCTCGGGATGTATGCCTCGCTTTGGATCCTGCGCACCGCCGTGTGGTCGATGAAGAAAATCATTGGCGAGCGGAAGGCCGCCTAGAGGAGGAGGGCATCTGTGGAGGCAGTGGATGTGAGGGGGGCGGAGGCTGAAAACTACATCATAGTTTATGATGGAGGAAGAATGAGGCAACCACCGTGGAGTGATATTGTCTTAAACATTGAACGTGCATATCAGAATGTTCGTAGCGGTGGTGTTTGAGTCTATGATTGTGATGTTGATGCTGCTGCTGATGGTGCTGATGAGATGATGATGGTGGTGGTGATGGTGATGAGGATGAGGATGAGGATGATGAGGAGGAGGACGAGGATGAGGAAGGGTAGCACGAAGCAGTACGCATGAGGTAGCAGGGAGGAGGGATGCAAAGGAGGAGAGGGATTTCCAGGGAATATGGGATGCACCAGCGGACGGAGGTGGAGAAGAGGATGAGGATACAGGTCGGAGCAGGACCAGGACCGTTGGTACGTGGGAGGATGACGTGGCAGAAGAGGTGAATGCGGATGCGGCGTCGAGTATTGAGAAGGAAGAGGAGGATACGTAGAGGGACCAGGTTAAACTCAGGTTGCATCAGCGGTGTTGGAATCCCCCCTCCCGTCCTAGTGAGACTCCTTCTAAAGAGTTTCTGCACGCATCCCTGGCCACTGTGGGAAGCGCCCCCTGGACCCTTTGAAACACGATCGCGCCATGGTCTTATCATTCAGGCGAGGGCTTTTCCCAGAACAGAGCTTGCGCTCAGGGTTTCGTACTTGAGTTCCGAGGAACTGGACCTGGTTGTCGGGCTGGCGGGCATGTAGCCGCCCGTCGCCGCCTCGTCGCCGCCTCGTCGCCGCCCGTCGCCTGGGCCTCGTTGTCGGTCTGGCCGCCCCGTCGCCGCCCGTCACCACCTCGTCGCCGCCTCGTCGCCGCCCGTCGCCGTCCGTCGCCGCTGCCCCGTTCCACCCCCCCATTGCAGTGCAATCGCATGACGCTGCAATCGCATTGCGTTGCGTTGCAATCGCATTGCGTTGCTTGGCATTGCTTTGCATTGTGCCACAAAGTTTGCGGCACAGATATTGCAGCACACAGCTTGCACCACACAGTTTGCAACACTTAGATTGCACCACATTTATAGTCCAGCATAGTTTGTACTGCATACATTTCACCACTTAGCAGCACTTAGCAGACACCACACACATTGCACAACATATGTTGCACCACAGGGTTTTCTATTCAAATATTGGTTTGATATGTTTCCCACCCGGACTTAGCGGCACATCATCTCGTATCGTTGGTTTGTAAATAATTCTGGACCCTAGCGACCCCCTCACCTTTTGCAAAACATGCTATGCGCCCGCATTCGTTTATAACAATTTTCAGCTTGCACGAATCCCACGCGCAACGCGTGACGAAGTGCGCGTCGACGCGCTCGCATGAGGAAATCCTTTTGAAATCGGTTTTAGGTCCTGAACGGACTTCAAAATATAATGTTCCGAACACATGAGGAGGAACGAATGGTGTCGCCTCACGACTTTTCAAGAATGCATGCTCCTGTGCACTTGCGGACTCTCAAGAACACCATACTGTGTCTACAACATGCTCGACACATGGTGCCAATCTTGCTTCTCGCGCGCGCATGTCCAAATCATTTGGGCTCCCTTGCGTGTGTGCTGTCGCGAGAATATTGTGCACACGTGGGACGAAGAGCGCTCGCGCGCGTCGTCGCGCAAGCATGCTGGAATCCTTCGACATCCTGAGGTTTTGCATTGCTGTTCGACATCGGGTGTCCTGAAACATGTGGAACAGCAGCGCTTTCGCAACATGAAGTTTCCAAACGACATACCCCCCCCGCCATTTTACATGTGTATGGGTTCACACCGAGCCAGCGCAGGTCGAAATCTTTCGAGCGCCCCTCGCGCGCGTGTTTGGGGGGTGGGTGGGCGATTGTTGTCAACTAGTACCGCGCGGGCCCCTCGCGCGCGTCGGCCCCGCGCGCGCGTGTCGAAAGCTTTCCAAAACCTTAACCGCCGACGCGGGGGCACCGTCATCGTCGTCGGCGTGGTCAGCAGCGGCGCCGTCGTTGCCCTTGCCGTCGTCATTGTCACTGTCGTCACCAGCATCGCTAGTATCATCATCGTGTCTGCCGCTGTCGACGTCGCCATCCCGCCGCGCCCGCCCGAGTCGCCGACTCGCACTCGCGCGCCCGCGCGTCAGCGCGGCCTGCGAGGCGCGCGGGGGAGTCCGCGGCGGACAGCGCTGCCGCGGCCGCATCCTTTGCGCCGTACTAGTTGGCCATTCTGCGGGCGGGTGGGCGGCGGTTGCAGGGGCAGTGGGGTCGGGAACTCATTGAACAGCGCAGATTCTGTTAAAAGAGGATTAGGGTCTACTTCCCCCCTCTCCCAGGGCTAAACGGTCCGCCGCTTTGCATTGCAATTTGCCCATGGCTCTTTCCCATTGCCCATTTGAAACGAGTTCGCAGACTACCAAGGCAGTCCCTTAGCGCCTCCCCCTCATCCTCCGCGGAAAAGTACGCGCGCCTTCGCATGTGCAAAATGATCTGTCTTCAAGGACCAATTGTAACGACGCGGGGCGAAATGCGCGCGTGTCGTCGCGCGCGCATGCCGGAGTCCAGCGATAAGTGGAGGTTCCCCGCGGGTTTCAGTATCGAGCGTCCCGAACACATGTGAAACGCCATTTGTTTCGCGACATGTCTTCGCACGAAAACCAGCACTCGCGGCTTCGCGACTTCTTCAGAAAACCACTCGTGCCTCTCGGCGCACGCGTCAATATGGCGCGCGCGTGCTGTCGCGAGAATCCCGTGCAAACGTGGGCGACGCGCGCGCGTCGTCGCGCGCGCGGCGGATTCCGTCGAGAACCTCAGGTTCCATTTGGATTTCACAAGCGGGTGCCCCGAACGCATGTACAAGCCCATGGTTTTGCAGCGTCGGTTTTCAACGAGGTCTGCGCGCTCGCTGTTGCGAATCCTGAGAACATCGGAGGTTCCTCAACCTCTTCTCGGAAACTTGGACCGATCGGTCCTCTCGCGCCGCGCGTCGAAATCATTCGAGCGCCCTTGCGCGCGCGCTGTGGTGTTGGCGGTGATGGCGGGGGCGGGGGGGGGGGGCGATCCTTGTCGAATAATGCCGCGCGGGCCGTTCGCGCGCGTCGGCCGCGCGCGCGTCGAACTCGCTCCAAAACCTTCGTTGCCGACGCGAGGGCGCCGTCGTTGTCGCCGGCGTGGCCAGCGCTGGCGCCGCCATTGGCCTCGCCGTCGCCATCGTCATCGCCGCCGTCGCAAGCGCGCCGACCGCGGTCGACGTTGCCGCGGCGCCGCGCCCGCTCAGGCCACCGGCTTGCGCTGGAGTGCCCGCTGGGAAGCGCCCTGCGGTTGGCGCCGCCGCAGCCGCGTCGGTCGCGTCAGACTAGCGGGCCGCCGCGCGCGCGATCGCGCGCGGGGCAGCGCGGCCGCGGAGACGCGCCAGCCAACGCCGTGCTTTCATCGCAATCGCCGCCGCGTGGCTTCGCCATCCAGGTCGCCGGCGGGCGGGCGGGCGGAGCGATTGCGCGGGCGGCGGGGCTGACCGCCCCGAGTTTGTCAGAAGTAATCCCATCGTGTGCATTGCGCTGCGTCGCCTGCGCCGCATGTATTCTCCTTTTCGAAGCGGGCAGTAGGATTTGCCCCCCCCCCCCCCCCCCCCCCCCCCCCTATGCCCCGACTTACGGGCCGCGTCTTCGCGCTGCCATGTGCGTATAGTGCTGCCCCATCACCCATCCTAAAGATGAGTTCGCGCCGTGCTGGGCCGCCCCTGATCGCCCCCCCCTCTCCACCCCGCGCGTGAGATCTTTCGCGCGCTCTCGTTTATCAGAAACCGGCAGTCTTCAGCAATCGCGCGCGATGGAGGGGGCGATGTGCGCGAACGCGTCGTCGCGCGCCCATGCGGGATTCATGGGACATGTTGAAGTTTCGTAAGGATTGCGCAGTCGAGCGCCCCGGAAGCACATCAACACTTATGGTTTTGCGACGCGAGTTTTAGTGTCGCGCCGCGCTGTCGAGCTTGCGAATTCTTGGGGAAGGCATTCATTCAACAAGTTCAACGCATCTTACCAAGCGCCCCCCGCGCGCCCGCGTCGAAATCACGCGGGCGCCGCCGCGCGCGCCGCCGCGGTGATCAGTTGCAACAAACGCGGCGAAGCATGCGAGCGTGCGTCGTCGCGTGCGCGCGACGAAATCGTTAAACCACAAAAACGCAGTAGTTTTTGTCATGGCCAAACGATTGTTATCTGCGAGTACCCCGAATTCATGTAGGCGCACATCGTATTGCAGCATCAGTTTGAACGCAGAAATTTGCGCTCGCGCTTTCGCGAATGTTCGCGGGGGCTATGCGCCTTTCAACGCGTTCATCACGTTCGACCAGAGTCGACCAATGGGTGTCTCTCGCCGCACGCCGAGATCATTCGAACGTCTTTGCGCGCGCGCTGGGGCGGGCGGGCGGCGCGGAGGGGGGTGGCGCGCGGGGGGCTGGGGGGCGCGATCCGCGCCGAATTCTACCGCGCGGGCCCTTCGCGCGCGTCGAACGCCTTCCAGGACCTCAATTGCCGACGCGGGGGCGCCGTCATAGTCATCGGCGTCAAGCGCGTCGGCGCCGCCATTGGCCATGATGCCGTCGTCGTCATTGCCGCCGCCATCGTCGCCGCGGCCATCGTCGCCGCTACCATCATTGCGCCCGCCGCTCGCCATCGTGCAGCGCCGGCCCAGGTCGCCGACTCGCACTGACGTGCCTGCTCGGAAGCGCCCAGTGGTCTGCGCCATCGCGGCCGCGTCGGTCGCGCCAGTCTAGCTGGCCGCTGCGCGCGCGAGCATGCGCGGGCCAGCGCTGCCGCGGGAATGCACCGGCCAGCGCCGAGCACTCATCGCAATCGCCGCCAGGTGGGTTCAGCAGGCTAGGTTGCGGGTGGGCGGGCGGGGCGATTGCGCGAATAGTCGAGTTGACAGGTCCATGTTCTTCAAAATGAGCTCCCCCTTCTACAGTGGCATTCGGATTTGTGCCCCCCCCCCA